ATAACAATAACAATAATAATGATAATAACAACAACAATAACAAATGTAATAATCCAAACAAAAGTATATACAAAATAAAATTTAAATTTAAAAAAAAAATAGGAAGAAGACAAAGGTGACTCCCCTTTGTAAATGATGTGGCATCATTTTGATTCCACATTGAAAATGTTTGGAAAGATTATCTCTTAAACACCTCTATATAAGAGGAGCATTTACAAACATATAATTGCTTGCCCATTAATGTGGGCAAGTATTGAGAAGTCCAAAGTTTTTTTTTGTTTTTTTTTTTTAGTACTATTGACACAAATTATGTTGTGGATCTGTGTCCACCTTGCAAGATAGACACGGTTAAAAAATTGTTCGTAATTATTAATATATAGTTCAAAAATTATGAACACATAGTTCTATAATTATGAACATAGTGTTGTGAACATAATTATGAACATATAGTTATGTCATTATGAATATAGAGATTCAATAATAGTGAATATGAAGTTAAAAAATTATGCATATATATCTTTATAATTATGAACATATAGTTCAGTAACTATGAACATAGAGTTCTGTAATTATGAATATAGGGTTCAATACTTATGAATATGAAGTTCAAAAATTATGAATATATAGCTTTATAATAATGAACATATAGTTTATTAATTATAAACATAGAACGGTGTCCACCTTGCATAACTATTCGATTGACCCTGTTATGCTGTAAACTTTCTCAGCCTATTGAAGCCCAACGTGTCAAAAGGCTCTTATTTAAGAAACCTTATCTTAATGGCTTCTTATTTTAGTTTTTTTATTTTTATTTTTTTAAATTTATTAGGGGGTTTGAAAAAGATTAACCCAAAATGTATATGAGTTGTTTTAGTTTTTAGCAGTTTGGAACAAATTGCTAAGTTATTAAATAATATTTTTGGTGTTTTGATTAAATATAAAATGTTAAACAGATGAATTTCTTAAAATTTTGACGAATTTACCAAATAATCAAATTACAATAACAACAACAACAATAATAATAACAACAACAACGACAATAATAATAATAATAATAATAATAATAATAATAATAATAATAATAATAATAATAATAATCCAAAAAAAAACCATATACAAAACAAAATTAAAATTAACAACCAAAAAAAAAAAAGAAGAAGACAAAGGCGAGCCACCGGCTCCCTTTGTAAATGATGTGGGATCATTTTGATCCCACATTTAAAATGTTTGAAAAGAGAGAGCATTGCTCCTTATAATTGTTTGCCCATCAATGTGGGCAAGTATTGAGAAGTCAAAAGGTTCTTATTTAAGAAGCTTTAACTTTGTCTTCTTATTTTAGTTTTTATTTATTTATTATTAGTGGGGGCTGTGGAAGATTAACCCAAAATGTATGTGTTGTATTAGTTTTTAGCGGTTTTGAGTAGATTACTGAGTTATTATATAATATATTTTGGTGTTTTGATAAAAGTTAAAATGTTAAAATGGCGAATTTATTAAAATTTTGGTGAATTTATCAACAATCAAATTATTAATAATAATAATAATAATAATAATAATAATAATAATAATAATAATAATAATAATAATAATAATCCAAACAAAACGATATACAAAATAAAATAAAATTTAAAATTAATAAAAATAATAAGAAGAAGACAAAAGGGAGCCACGGGCTCCCTTTGTAAATGATGTTGGATCATTTTGATCCCACATTGAAAATGTTTGGAAAGAGGAGCTCAATAGCTCCTCTATATAAGAGGAGCAATACTCCTCTTACAAACATAATAATTGTTTGACCATCAATGTGGGCAAGTATTGAGAAGTCCAAAGGCTCCTATTTTATTTTTGAGTACTATTGACTCGACAAATTATGCTGTGAAACCGTGTCCACCTTGCATGGTAGACACGGTTCCAAAATTGTTCATAATTATGAATATATAGTTTTATAATTATGAACATAGTGTTGTGAACATAATTATGAACATATAGATATGTAATTATGAATATAGAGATTCAATAATTGTGAATATGACGTTCAAAAATTATGAATATATAGCTTTATAATTATGAACATATAATTAAGTAATTATGAACATATAATTTTGTAATTGTGAATATAGAGTTCAATAATTATGAATATGAAGTTCAAAGATTATGAATATATAGCTTTATAATTATGAACATATAGTTAAGTAATTATTAACATAGAATTGTGTCCACCTTGCAAGGTGGACACGGTTCCACAACATAACTATTCGATTGACCCTGTTACATATAATATATGTTCATATAAACTTTCTCAACATATTGAAGCCCAACGAGTCAAAAGACTCTTATTTAATAAACATTATCTTAGTGGCTTCTTATTTTAGTTTTTTTTTTTAATTTATTAGGGGGTTTGGGAAAGATTAACCCAAAATGTATATTTATTGTTTTAGTTTTTAGCATTAAATAATATTTTTGGTGTTTTGATTAAATATAAAATGTTAAACATGCGAATTTGTTAAAATTTTGTCGAATTTGCCAAATAATCAAATTACAACAACAACACGACATCAACAACAACAATTATAATTAATAATAATAATAATAATAAACTATATACAAAATAAAATTAAAATTAACAAAAAAAAAAAGAATAAGACAAAGGGGAGCCACGGGCTCCCTTTGTAAATGATACACCGTATGAGATTATTTTGATCCCACATTGAAAATGTTTGAAAAGATGAGCTCTTGAGCTCCTCTATATAAGAGGTACAAACATAATTGTTTGTCCATCAATGTTGCAAGTATTGAGAAGTTAAAAGGTTCTTATTTAAGAAATCTTAGCTTTGTCTTCTTATTTTAGTTTTTATTTATTTATTATTTATTATTTATTTATTATTAGTGGGTTGGGAATGATTAACCCAAAATGTATGTGTTGTTTTAGTTTTTAACAGTTTAGAGCAAATTACTGAGTTATTAAATAATATTTTTGGTGTTTTGATTAAAGATAAATTGTTAAAATTTTGGTGAATTTGTCAATCTCAATTTTTTTTAAATCGTCAATAATCAAATAATAATAATAATGATCATCATCATCATCCAAACAAAATAAAATTAAAATTAAAAAAAAAATAAGAAGAATGTTGTGGGATCATTTTAATCTCACATTGAAAATGTTTGGAAAGAGAAGCTCTTGAAAATGTTTACAAACATAATTGCTTGCCCATCAATGTGGGCAAGTAGTGGAGGAAATTTCAATTTTGGTCATATGACTATAGGGGTCTTGTTAATTTTAGTCCATGACTTTCAAAGATGTCAATTTAGTACCTTAACTATGCAATTTTTGTCAATTTTGGTCACTCCGGCCAAATTGCCGGTCAAATTTCACCGGAAAATTTTAATAATTAAAATAATAAGGATATTTTGGTCATTTCACGTCTCTTTTATTCTTCCCAGGCGAGTCCTTCCTTCAAAGTTATAGCACCGTATGCGTACATCTAGACATTAGTTATTAATTTGAGCAATTATTTGCACAAATTCAAGCAATGATAACATCAAAATATATAAACGATCCAAAGCATATCTTTAATTGCACTATATAATATTTGATGTTCTAATTTAAATAATTATATATCGATTCATATATTCTTAATATATTACAACAAATCCATTCCGTGCATCGCACGTGTGCAAATACTAGTAATATAATAATAATAAGTCTCAATCAAAGTTATATGTTTTGTTTTTTTTTTGAAAGGAGTCTGTACGACATTTATTCGAAATATGCAGAAATAGCAGCTGGTGGACCTAAGTCCGAATACATAATAGTCGACTGAGTAAAGGCAATAGATGCTAATGTATGAGCTAAATAATTATCTAATCTAGGAACATAAAGAATCAAACAGTACTCAAAAGTTAACATACTAGTCCTGCAACTATCAATGGCATAGCCTAAGTATGATCGTGAGGAGCGTGTCATAGACGACAGGTATTGTTGTAGTACTAAACAATCCGTGATGAGCTCGATAGAGTTTATTTCGCTATCCCTTAACCACGACAAAACTTCCTTTCATGCGAGAGCCTCCGCCATTAGGGGTGTAAAACAGTCTACCATAGGGGTGGTCATAGCTGAAATATACCTTCCTTGCCCATTTAGAATAATAGCCCCCGCCGCCGCTTTTTTCGTTCGTGGGTCGTATGCCGCATCGAAGTAACATTTGAGGAGTTCCGTTCCCGGCGCAGCTGGTTGTGGAGGATGCTGATCGACCGTCGGCAATGCAGTGACGTCCCTGGCAGGCGTGATTACTGCCGGTGTGGCAGTAACATTTGTGGCAGATGACGCTGCAAATGTGGCCGCTGGCGTAACAATCTGATCCGACGCGGCAGTGTTGATTAGCGGCTGTACACGACTTGGATGAGCGATCTTCCAAGCATGTATAGCTGATGATGCCATCACAATTATTTTCCGAGGCCTGGGCAACCATGCATCCCAAACAGCCCCATTCCTTGCACGCCAAATGTAATATAGAATTGCCACTGCATAAATAATCTCGTTATCATTTAAAATATTCATCAAATCATTAAACCAATCACTGAAAACATTTGTGAGACTATTGGGGATTGGAAGGTGAGATTGTGCCCAAATGTTTGTCGTATAGTCACATGTGATTAAAGAGTGCACAATATCCTCATGTATAATCCCACACATGGCACATGTTGGATCAATATCCACTCTCTTTATAAGTAGGTTGTTCGTAGTGGGCAAAATATTATTCAGAGCTCTCCATATAAATGTCTTCCACTTTGGGGATCTTAAGCTTCCATAAAATTTTCCATTTATCAAAGGTCCCTACTGGTTGGGTGTAGTTACCTATTATTTTCCTATACCCATCCTTGACTGAGTATTCTCCTTTTGGATCCCCATACCAGTACCATAAATCCTCATAATCAGGTGACACTGGTATTTTTTTAATTCGTTCTACATCCTCAGGTATGAAAATATCTGTGAGAATATCCTAATCCCAGGTTCCTGTTTGTTGATCCATTAGACCCATCACCTTCGCCTGTGCCAATTGGAGTGGTTTTTCTGTTTCTATTTTCGGGTGATTCTCATCATGTAACCATGGGTGGTCCCAAATCAGAGTTGATTTGCCATCCCCAATTCTCCTCCTAACTCCCCCACAAATCAACTCTTGTGCTGCCAAGATACTTCGCCAACAAAAACTTGGGTTATTACTCAAGCATGCATCATAGAAAGAATTAGTGGAAAAATACCTGGCTTTGTAAACTCTCGAAACCAATGATTGCGGTTGTGTCAGAAAACGCCACCCTTGCTTACCCAACATAGCAAGATTAAAGGCACGTAACTCTTTAAACCCCAAATCTCCATATTTCTTTGGAATACATAGTTTATCCCATGCTTTCCAATGTATACCCTGGTCATTCTTGGATCTCCACCAATATCGATTCATGGTTCGCTCAATGGCAGTGCACAAAGTAGTAAAAAACACTCATTGAAAAGGTAGGCATAGATTGGGCTACACTTTTCAATAGAATTTCATTTCCTGCCTGTGACAACAATTTTTTATTCCATGAGCTGATCCTCTGTCTTATCTTATCCTCAATATATGAAAACGCTGCTTTTCTATTCCTGCCCACAAACGATGGAAGCCCTAAATACTTCCCAAAATTCTGAGCCTACACTACACCCAATATATTGGCAACCTCCTCCCTTGTTTCTTCACATGTATTTTTACTATAACAAATATTCGACTTATGATAATTTACTGCCTGGCCAGAAATTTCCTCATACTCCGATAAACAACGTTTAATTACTTCCGCCTCCTGCACATTTGCTTTGAAAAAAAGTAGACTATCATCAGCAAAAAATAGGTGGGTAATGGAGGGGGCTCCTCTAGCAACCGTACAACCATGTATTTCTCCTTTCGCCTGCGCCTGCTGTAACAATAGTGAAAGCCCTTCAGCACAAATAATGAATAGATAAGGTGAGAGGGGATCACCTTGTCTTAGACCACGAGTCAGGACTATTTGTTCACTCCGTGTCCTATTCACCAGCACGCTATAAGATACAGTGGTTACACACATCATCAACAATTCCACCCATCTTCCATCAAACCCCAGGGCCATTAACATTTTCCGTAAAAAGACCATTCCATACGGTCGTAGGCTTTGGCCATATCCAGCTTTAAAGCCCCCCAACCCATGAGTCCACATTGCTTCCTGTTCAAATAATGGCCTACCTTCGCAGCTATCAATATATTATCTGTAATTAACCTCCCAGATATGAATGCACTTTGTGACTCAGATATGATACTCTCCATCAAAGGCTTCATTCTAGCTGTAATAACCTTGGCCATAATTCTGTAAACCACATTACTCAAAGCAATTGGCCTATAATCAGAAACCATCTCTGGGTTTTTTTTTTTGGGATCAGGATAATATTCGTCTCATTTAATTTATCAGGGAACGAGTTAGTATTCAGACAATTCACAATATAAGTACAAACATCGCTACCCACCACATCCCAGAAGTGCTGATAAAATCCGGGGTTCATCCCATCCGGTCCCGGTGCTTTATCAGGATACATTGAAAACAATGCAGGTTTAACCTCACTCTCTTCAAAAGGGCGCAACATGCCCTCATTCTGCGTGGCTGTCACTCGTGGTTGTATACTCTCAAAGAAATTATTATTAATAGTAGGAGTACTTGAGTAAAAAATATCACGATAATAATTCAAGATAACATTCCTCATGGCATCTCCCTCAATCCAATCCTCATTACCATTCATAATCTTAGTAATAGAATTCTTTTTCTTTCGATGAGAAGCGTACCTGTGGTAAAACCTGGTGTTTGCATCCGCATCCTTGAGCCAATGCTGTTTGGCCCTCTGTCTCCCGTAAGTATCTTCCTGCAACTCAATACGAGTCAGGGACTCATCTATCTTTTGAAATTCAGCTAGAGACACCGGATCCGTACGCCCTCTGAGACGTAGTTGTTCCTTCCGTAAGTTCAATATTGTCTCCCCGAATTTGTGAAAACGGTCTCCACCCCAGCGTGTTAACCGTTCACCACAAAACGTGACACAATCCTGCAGCCCCCTATTCCTTCCTTCACCCCAGGCTTTTTCAACCACATCCCTACATCCTTCATCATGTAACCATGCGATCTCAAACCGAAAACCCCTTCTTTGGCCACCCCTCCTTTCCTATATGTTTAGTTTATGTCAATTTTTAATTTTACATGCTAATAAAGATATACATTTTACATAAAATGTTGCACACTTCAATTTTAAATATCTGATCTAACCCACCCTCCCCCTCCCCCGCCGCCACCTGAAATTGAATAGCTTGTTCAAGAGGATATAGCTGGAGTTTCTAGAGTTCGTTTCATGAGAGAAAGAAGATTAGTGTGTATGTGTGTGTATATAGAGCATAATTCAAGTGCAGTCGCGCCTTAACAAGTAGTCAGTGCGGCCGCACATGCACCAACAATGTTATATAAACGTATCTCCATCACACTGCAAATAAGTTTTAGTGAGCCAAAATGATTATATTATTATTAGTATATTTGAAGCCAAGACAGGAGATGCATTTCAAAATGCATTATAATGAATGGAAATGTGATGAATAACGTAACATATTAAATTAAAATAGGTAATTAATATTGAGTCTTCATTTCTTGCAGCAGCAAAGGATCCCATCTGGTTGTCTTTCGCATACACCGTTGTTGAAACCCCTAGCGACGCAAGATGAAATGCATGTCACTTTTCCACCAGGCAATACGCACGGATCAATGCAAAACTCATCTGCCACTACTATCTCGCCGCACAGATCAGATCATGAAACCAAAAACAAAAACAATTAATCCAATATCAAGTCAAAAACCGGATAGCATGTTTGAAAAATAAAGGCATTTTTTACTCAAAATTTTAAGATGCTGATACCTATGTTAGACGCAATAGAGAGGCCAATCATAGCAAGAAGCATGAAAAAGCAAACTCTACCAGAATTCATCTTGTTAAACTCAACTCTATGTACGATCACAAATAATTCATTGTAAGGATTGCCACTTTTTATATGTGTGTTTGTGTCGTTTGTAGTTCCAAATTCATTTTCCATATAATTATATTTCCTTAAAAGGTTACTTTCTCACGTTATTATAATTATAAAGGTGGAGATCATTTCAAATTAGATTAATATCTCCAAATAATTATTACAAAATTACAAATTTAGATATTCGCGAATTGACCAAATAAAATTACTATAAAGTTATAGGGACAAAAATTTATTTACATATAGCATACAAATAAATCTTTTTTAATTCATTGGTTACCATGAATTAACCGACTTACCACACATTAAGCAAAAAATGTATATAGCTATATAAACTTGTAAAGCAAATTTATATAAACTTGTAATAATTCTTAAGTTAAATAGTTGAAAATAAATATATACACTTGTAAAGCAAATTTAGAAAGAAAACTTAACTTAAATTAATATATATATAATTTTTAATATTTTTTTTATTTTTAGGGTTATGGATTGATTCAAATTTTAATTTTTATTTTCTAACTGGGTCAAGCTGGATTCGAACTTTAATTTGACCCTCGGTCAGTGGCGGATCTAGAAATCTTCTCCAGTGGGGGCGAGAATTTTATTAACGAGATATTTTGAAACATAAAAAAATAAAACACTTAGAGACATAGCCTTAATTAAAGATGAAAACTTAAAATACATCACAATAAAAAATATTTAAAACAAAATATAAAACATAATTAATTAGATAAAATAGTTCGAATGGAAAACACATTATAAATTACTCATCACACTATTAATATTAAAAAGTAAAAATAAAAATAAAATAAAGAAGAAGTCACAATGTTACCAAAAAAAAAAGAAGAAACAATTAGAATTCAAAAGCAAACAGAAGCTTTACAAGTTTCAAACCTTAGCCTATCCATATAAGAATAAGTAGCCTTACCATCTAAGCCAAATTAACTAATGTTTAAAACTTGGTATATTTAATATATAAACGTTTATTATTTATATAAGGACCTATACATACAATATATATAGTATGGGGTGGGGGGTGGGGGAGTGGGGGCAGTTTCCCCCACTGCCCCCACTGTGGGTCCGCCTCTGACTATACTGAACAATAGTATACGAGAAATCTGACCTCGTTTGAGCGGAAGCGATAGCCGTGTATCTCCAGCCATAGTTGATGTTCCTGTTGCATTGCCTCTTAACGGTAGTCCGTTAGCCATGTTTTGCCTCAGACCTGACTCAGAACCCTAGATGGTGTATTGGTATCTACTGATCAGTCTCAGTACCATAACTGAATGTGCTAACATCAATCATCCGGTATCTCATCAATCCATGATTATATTACGCACAGAGTTTGGTGGACTAACAACTCCTAGTTATTCAGTCCAACCAGACTACTTAATAAACCTAGTCCACTTGCACCACTTAATTAAGGCCCTAATATATAATATATAATATATATTATTAGGAAAAATCTTACATTCTCCCACTTGGTGCAAGTACTAGCACAACCTTCATCAAAGAACAAAACACACGAATCATAGTGACATGTCCTCTATTTAATCAGAGTAATATCCATTATGGTCACATGCATTTTAATTCTCCAACTTAGGTCCTTTATGAACAAACCCTATGTTTATTCTCGGTACCTTAAGGGATGTTTCTCAAAATACATTATGTGCACAACTGAAAGAGAAAACACATCCAAATTGTACAAAAGAGTACACTGTATGATCTCTAAAACTTTATAAGCCTGCATTAAGTAGAGATCTCTTAATGTTAGCATAATGCTAACTATATTCTATGACTTCTTTATAAGTTAACTTTAAGTTCTATCTCTAACATCTAAGAGCTTGGAGTTGACACGTCTGTCACTCACACTCATCAAAAATAGCCAAAAGATAGTCAAGTCACAGAAGTATTCCAATAACTTAGACAATAAACCAAAAGTCTAAGTCCATGAATTTGGAATCTTAATCATACACCATAACTTCCCAAATAACTTCAATGTTCATTTTAAATGAACTGAACATAATGAGTCTTACTTTTATGTCCCACAAAATTATTTTGAGCCTTACAACCGAAATGGCCCAGGATCAATTTTGAAGAAACTAAAGACTCTATTAATCACTGAAGAATTTATTAAATTACAGTGCACCACAAGTTAAATGTTTTTGTTCTAATAAATTCCTTAATATTGTTACAACATTTTCATAAATATGTTGCACAACCAAATGTTCAATAATTTGAACTTATGAATTTATATGAACAAATACAAGATTAATACTTGTGGAATCTTTTGGATTTATTGTTTGACATACAATCAAATTTAGGATGTATGAAGCCATTTAAATCCATAAACTTTAGTGGAGTATCTAAATGATCTTTTCTAAATGATCACTCCCACT